CTGTTAATATGAAAAATAAAAGTATAAAATACTGGAACAGTTGTGATCTATAGATATCTGGCAAGGTACAAATAATATTTGTTAACAAGTAGACATTCTGCAGCAAAAAAGGAGCCTTCAGTGCTGAAATCGAACACAGTCTGTGGGTGAAAATAAAATGTAATCTGGGGCTTCAGCAGAGTTCTTAAAGAGACAATGCTTTTTAAAGACTTCACTACTACATTTGCCCTCTCTTTTCAAACACTGACCTATTACCTAAATTAAGCGGGTGTACCTGGTCTAGGAAAGTTCAGTTTTCATTAGCTTTATCTAAATGAACCATAGTATGCTTAAAAAAAACCAAAACAAAATAAAACAAAAGTGCCACACTATTGCAATAGGCAATGTATGTTTCAGTTTCATGCAATAGAACCTCTCACACTATGCAGCATGTCAAAGGAGGAAAATTCATCTAACAGCAATAGATAATCATTACAATGTATGTTTTAACTGCAGATAATAATGTAATAAAGAGCTTTTGAAGGCTGGGATTTAGATATCCACTTTCTATCCGATTTCACTGAACCTAATATTGAAATCCTCTCCAGCTTTAAAAATCATGTCTCACATTCCCAAATAGCTCAGGATACATGGACCTGGACAGGTAACAGCAATGCCAGCTATCAACTTTATATCTACACAGGCAACTCCACTTCCCAAAAACTGCACAGATACTATGCAAACCTTACGGATGTTATAATATGCCTTAGGATAGACTGCCCTCAGGAGGCCGACATGAAATCTCTTCACGGGATACCACATACTGACACAGGACACTTTATATGCATCCATTATCACAAAAGAAAGCCTGTTCCTTGGGACAGTTCTTACATACAGCTGCAAAATTAAATAAAAACCTCAACAACAACTTGTGTGTCGTGCTGGAAACTTCTACTGATGATAATGAATTGCAATATACGCCTCAAAAGTAGGAGATGACTAACACAGTGAGTTCACCACAGCGAGTTCTACGTTACAAACACATTTCTTAAGAGACAAGCAGGAGAAGCAAGACTCCAATGGTACTTAACAAAAGTCTACAGGAGAGTTTTAAGCAATGTGGCAGGTGAAGAAACAGCAGCTGAATAAGAGCACATGCTCTCACTTCCATTAGAAATGCAATCACAGAAACTTTGTACGTCTAATAAGAGACTGAAGTTTTCAAAATTCAGTTGAGAAACCATGATAAGTAAGCCAAGCACACAGTCCCACTCAAGAACACCCACATGCAAAAAACCCCAAATCATTTATATATAGCTCAGCATAAATGCTAGCAGCACAAGACATAAAACCCGAATGTCTGTTTTGAATCAAGGGCAGTGATATAACAAGCACACCAGAAATATGATGGAAGCAAGACAAATAAGCAAGATATTGATACAAAATATATAGTAAAGTCATCAAACTAAGTATCTGTATATTAGCTCATCATATCAAATATGGATTTAATTTCCCGGCCTAATAAGATAAACTCTGCTGTTTGGCAGTATTATTACCCTCACAATTAAGATGCTGGCAGTAGTTACGACATTCAAGGACTATAAGGCCACCAACACAACTGTAATGAAAGATGGCAATTATCAGCAGGTTGAATAAATGTCACACGAAAGAGGCCAAGATCACTTTTTAAGTATATTTTTTTCACGTAGCCGGTCAGGGCCACTTAACACTGGCCCCACTCAACTCCTGGGGACCACGTCCCCAGAACGTTCAAGTCCCGAGTCAAAATGCTATTTTCAAAGACTGGCTTTGTGATGGTACTTTTATTTCTGTGAGAACATTGACAAAGTTTATTAATAAAAACAACAGTCCACTATCCCAGAGTTCCCTAAAAAAGGAGCAACATAAAATAAGGAAATAGACGGAAAAGAAACCAAAACAACAAGGAAAAACACTAAAATGCAATGCTTGACAATAACACTCAGATTGACCGTATGCACCGAACTTCAGTATGACAACTATAAATACACACACCAAATTAAAGGTTTTTGGGGAGGAGGGGGAAGCTGGCATGGATTAAAAGCTACTAGAATTTAAAAGCCACCCTTCATAAAACCAGCAGCCTGACTCCAGCAGTCAAATGGAATCTGTCACTGAATGTGAAATTTAGACAGATCAGAATGCAAAGGAACAATTTACCAAAGTACACACAAACTGAACACCACCTTAGGAACAGGTGCTGTGCCTGAATAAAGCAAGCAGATGATCAAAATAAAAAGCAAGCTGCTCAGGGAAGGCAAGGCCACAGAGAAAAAAAAAAAAAAATCCCCAAACTCTGAACAAAACCCCAAATCAGTTTCTGGTTCCATGCAGGAACTTGAGCAGAACCTCTACAGGCAATTCACTGAAGGTTTTACCTCTCAGAGCAAAATATCAGAAGAGGTTACAGAGGAAAGAGTGACAAATGCTGGGGCTGGGGACTCTCGCTCCCTGACGCTGAAGGCAACCAGTAACTGCAGCGTGAAACTCCTGGGTTAGAACTGCCTCGTTATGAAATGAGTGGAAGCCAGCAGCAGTGACAGCAAGCTCGGGGGAATTTTGTGGGTGGAAGAATCACTTGTTTTATAAGAAGGGATTCCAGAGGGATCCAGGGAACTACAGACTAATTACGTTTTTCTGTACATAGCAAATTGCCAGAAATTGTTCTAAAGCTATGAAAACAACTGTATAAACATACTGAAGAAAGTCAGAGTTGCTTTTGCAAGGGAAAGACATGTTTGATAAACATTTTAGAGTTCTTATGAAGACTAAAAAGAGAAGAGAGTAAGGAGATCTAATACAGCACGCTTGAAATTCTAAAAGGCATCTGACATGTTCCCTTGCCAAAAACCATTAAAGGTGCTGTGATACCAAGAGAAGTTGTCATATCAGTAAATTGTTTAAAGACAGAAGAGAAAGGTTATGAATTAGCAGTCATTCTTTCCTAAGGACAAGGATTGCCAACAGAACACCACAGGCACCTATGCTGGGGCTACCAAAGTACAACCTATTCATTTGGGTTCTGAGACAGCAATTTCTGAAGCCCACGTTACATTCCAGTAATGCTAAGGTACTCAAAGTAATAAAGGAATAATGGAATTAAACAAAAAATTGCAGAACTGTTTCATTCAGGAAACAGGTGTTAAAACCAGCAGACTAAATTCACTGTAGATAAATGAGAACAATTCACACTGGGGAACATACAAAAAATCAGTCCTAAATACATGTACAAGGAAATGGGCTCCAAGTTGACCATTAATTATTTATAACTGAGTTACTGTTCTTACATAGTTTCTGAAAATGTTAAGTGTAAAGGTTAGGAAAAGGCAAAACAATCAGACATTATTTTTGGAAGCAATATAAAACAAAGCATCCTTTCTTTTTTCCTGACAAATCCCCAGCGAATACTGTGAGCGATTCCACCTGCTCCCCCCTCCTTGAGAAACTAGAGAAGTAAAGGACAAGAAAGATGACATAAGGTACAAAAGAGCTTTCCAGCAACAAGCAACTAAAAGAAATAAGATTCTTCAATATGAAACAGAAACAACTGAGACAGGATATAACAGAGGTCTACAAATTCAACAGGGACACAGAGAAAGCAGAAGAGGGTTATTACAAAGTCTCATCAAATGTGCAGGCTTCAAGGAGAGCTATCAAATGCCAAATTCAAATGTATCACAGTGCTGCAGTAACAAGAGTCTTCTAAGGGGACATCACCCCACACTTGATCTGTTACCTACCCTCTGCGGTCACTGCTTCCACTGTCTGAGACATCACACCTGGCCAGACAGAGCCCTTGTCTGACAAGCAGGTACTACTCCTTAAAGCAGATACACGCAGCAAACACTGAAACGGATTACTCTTTTTAACAAGCTTTCAGTTCTAATTTACCAGTTTGAAGAAAAGGGAATAAAAGGTCTTTTAAAAATACGACTTTAAGGCCACCAACACCTCAGTCTAGTTCTATAGCAACAGCAGTAATAAAAACATACTATGTATTGCAACATTTAAAAAAATTACTTAACAGCATACTGAGATTCTTCTGAAAGTGTTATTTCAGGATTTAATGACAAATATAAACGACAAATGCTATTGCTAATAACTTATCTAACAGTTCCCTTACCCAGCAAAACAAGGGATAGTAATAATTAGAGTCAGAACTCACTAAGAGGAAATTATTTTTACTCTCTTAATTTTGGCTTCTGGTCAAGGTATGTCAGACAGGCTTTGCCTCTAAAATACTAAAGACAGGTATGGGCAGCAGCCAAGTTACTGACATATTACTACTTGACTAGTAAAAATGGGAGTACCAGCTGTCCTTCCTCACCTCCACTGCCCTTGGAAAAAATCTGTCTATTCTCTGGCCAATTCCCCCTATCAAAGAGAAACATAATTAGCAATTATATTTTTGGTGCAAAGACACATATGACACACAACTTTTCACAGCAAATAACACCATCTCTCTACAAAGAGATAACAGGAAGATAAGGACTCCTGAAAGGACTACCTTTAGTGGTATTTATATTCTAAAGTGAGTAACACAACCAACTATAAAACCCCCTGAATATACAACCACCCCTTGTATTATTTCTCAATACATACCTGAGAGAAGCTTGAACATGCACTGTTTTCTGGAACAAAGACAAGATTTCTGAGCTGCACAAATGAAGAAAATCTCAGACTTTGAAGACACAAAGTTATCATCAGTGAGATCTTCTCTTTCTGTTCTTTGGTTTGTGCCAAGACGGGAAGTAATTTCAAAAGCTGAATCAACATCTGGATGATGATGCAATGAACACTGGAGCTAAGAAGTGAAGGTCCTAAACCACATTGATAGTTTTCTTCAGAGATGATAACAACACCAATTAGCAAAAATTACTTGATCTCAATAGAAAAGCCTGAGGTCAAATTTTGGTAATTTTTCAGCAAGGGAGGAACACTCAGGATCGTTTACAGCTGAATAATTACTCTTCTTCAAAAGCTGCTTTGAATAAAATAAATGGCTATTTTATTGACTATACATACATATTAAAGAGCATCCTCATAACAGCTGAACTGAGCATTCAAGAAGATATAGAGCAAAACACCTTGACTTCACACTCTGGAAGTGATGCATATTTTCTAAACATCTACTGAGTCAGTGAAAAGGCTTTTATGCGGCAAGGTCCACAACTGTACTGTTCACCGGTGTATGTGCAGCTCCAACTCAGAGTATTATAGAATCAATAACTCCAACAACCAATCAACAGCCCTTCAATGTATACACACAAGTGCTACTAGATTAAATGAGTGCTGTACATGCATTCAAGAATGGAACTGAGCAGGTTTTGTCTTTATAAAAAACACGTTGCAGGTAATTAAATGTCCTAAAGGCAATTCAGGTATGCTGGAGATCTAGAAGCCCCTAGCTTTGTAGTGTAGGCTACAAACAAACAAAAACCAAAGAGAACTCCTTGGCACTTTGTAGGGACTAACTGATAAGAATAAAAAATTACGCAGTTCTCAATCTTTGCCCCACATGAAAGACTTGCTGCAATCATACCTGCCAACTGATACACAGGCCTGCACACTTTATTAACCTTTGTGTAACATGATAATCAGAATAAAGTCTCCATTCTATCCCAAATTGGAAAACATGATTTTATAAAAATATAGTGCTTTAAAAATGTATCAGCATGTTATTTAAAACTATAGTAAAATCAGATCTTTTTCAAATTGTTACATACACAGTCTTCATAATAGCAAATGGACTCTTTCAGGTAGCTAAACGTACCCGCTGGACTTTACCACTGCTCAATTTGTCCTCTCACTAAATAGTATTAAGTCAATTAGATACATCAATCTTCAACTAATCTCCACCCTCCCCCCTTTTAATTTTTATATATTTATATATTACCATCATGATATCTAAGTAGGTACTTATTCAAGGTAGTATTTAAGTGAGAAGCTGCAAGCCTCCATCTACAATTAGAGTACTCCCTGTAACATAAGGGGACTCTAGAAGAAAGACAACAGCTTGTGCAACTTCACAAGGCTCTCCAAATCTTCCAAGGAGAATGGCTTTCTTCAACTGATCTTCCTCCAAATGAGCAGTCATATCCGTGTGAATAAAGCCTAAGAGAGGAGAGAGATTTGAAAAGTTACCTTACCTTCAACTAAATTTCTTTGGTGGATTTTCCCTAGGATCCTCCAAAGTGAAATCTACCACCAGGATTCAGCACCAGCTACCATTCTTTAGTCTCAGAACTCAGTCCACACCATTTTACAGCCAAGACCTAACCAATTTTTTACCTAACCAATAAAACACCTTCCAGTTTTGGAAGCACTGATGTAATAACAAAAACACAGAGACCTATGGAACTCCATTTAAAAAAAAAAAGTAACTAAAATTGGGTCCCAAAAGCATATATATTCTGACTTTCCTAAACAACAAAACACAGTCATTTCACCAAAACATTCTCAATAGAAACATGAGTATGAAATCTCTGTCAAGAAACACCTACAGCTTGCAAGTGTCTCCATTATATTTTAGAAATTATGACAGCACTTGCATAATTTCTATTACAGTGCTAATTTAAAGAATATTTCTTGACATTTTTGAAGGACATCTCTTTACAATTTTCAGTTATCTGAGATTCAGTTTTCCCACTGCTGCACTTCACATAGCTGCAGCTTCACAAAGAGCTGATCTTCTCTGCTTTCTAGCTGCCACCAAGAAGGGATGTTCTCAGTTTTGCTTTCTACGGTATGATTCTGCCCCTTTACGATGGCTCTGGACGCATCAGTTTGCTGCTCAACTCACTAAACAATAAAAAGTATTTTTCCTGCCTAGTTTACAAGCTGAACTGGTTCATGAAGAGGTCTGAAAGGCATTAGAGCTAGCACACGGTGAGCAGCAGAATACACAGCCATGAGTGTAAAAAGGCAGAAAAGACAGAAAGATTTTTCCTTCAGGGGGATGGTTTGCTTGGACTAGATCTCACAGAACTTTCTTTCCAGACTCTCTTCGTGATAGACAGGGACTGCTTTCATGCCAACTTCTCTTGTTCTCTCATGTTTCTCTAATAACAAATAAGCACTCTCTAGCAGGAGACGAGGGTGGCTGTCTGTATATAATTAGTTCTTCCATCTGTAAGGACAGCAGGTTTTGAAGGAGGAACAAAGGAAAAAGAAGACATTTATTATGTAATAATGGACAAAGTGTAGACACACTCTTCCAAATTTCTCAGTGTTTTGTTAAAAAGACTGAAAGTTTTGTAAAAGAATGTATTGTACTTTATACTGAAAAAAAAAGAGATTAAAACCATTTACTCACAAAAGTTGAAGAAAATAATAGCACTTTGTCTCAAGTTACTTTCAGAGTACAGCAAATATCCAGCAGTCTTGATAATCACATGTTGCAACACTCAAGGATGTAGGAACTTCCCAAAAACTAACCTGGAGCAACCACGTTGACTCGAATTTGCTTTTTTGCCACTTCTTTAGCAAGGGAGCGTGAAAATCCAACTAATCCTGCTTTGGTAGCACTGTATACACTTTGACCAGAGTTGCCTTTAAGTCCTACAATACTTCCTAAAATACAGAAACATCAAAGAGAAGAAAAGATAAGGTGACTAATTTGAAACCTTGTACTAGCTTTATCATTTAAGTTTTAAATTTGGAATGGAAAATGAGATTACAAGAAAAGGAATCAAAAGTATATTACTAAATGAACTTTATAGCCTACTGCTGGGATAAGCAAATCCCTCAATTATCTGTGATTTTTGTGGAATCCATGTATCTATGTTGACCAACAGGCACCACGGGAGTAAACCAAAGAGCTTTCAAAAAAATACCCTTGGAAAGGGAAAAAAAAAAAAAGAAACCAACTGTACCTATTTCATTCTTAGTTAATAACTAGCAGCTGGTAGATTTAGTTACTGAAAGAGTTGATAAAGAATGGTAAAATTCTTTTTTCAGCAAACTATAAACTCTGACGTGTTTATTACTGAAACAAGCTGGTTTTATATTTAGAAGTTGCTGAAATTGCAGAAAAGAATAAGCATTCATAAAGAAATGCTAAATACAGAATGTCTAAATACAAATAAATAGTCAATTGTAACAAGTAACATTTCAACACATTATACTTGCTAAACCTGTCTAGAAAAATATTAGAATCATAGAATTGTCTAGGTTAGAATGACATAGAATTCCACCAGATTAGACAAGTAACTTACCTATATTGACAATAGCACCCCCCTGTTGTTGAATCATGCTTTTTACAGCAGCTTTGCATGTCAACATTGTTCCCAAAAGGTTAGTGTGAATCTGGGCTATCATATCTTCAGTCTTGGTTCTCAGTAACAAACCATCCCTGACAAAGAGACCAAAAAACCCAAAAGAACTCACTGAACCATCCCAATGATAACATTTACTCATAATAAAACATGACTGTTAAATGGAACATTAATGGAGATTTATACGGTTCTACAGATTCTAGCATGCAAAACAGTAACATTGCAAGGATGATACATAGCAAGAAAAAAGTGTGCTTCTGGCAACAAAGCCTCCTTTGCAGAGAGGTATCAAACATTGTCTTGAAAAATTTCAGGGGGAAGTAGAAGAAAGAGGAGTGGAGGGGGAACTCAAACTCAGAATTCAGAAACTACAGCTGTTAGAATTTTACTTTCATCAGGAACAAAATATTGGTCAGCACTTAATACTGTTTTCAGATGTACTTGTTAACAACACTCTTACTAAATGCAAACGCCATTAGCACCATTCTCAATAAAAACACAAGTATGAAATCTCTGTCAAGAAACACCTACAGCTTGCAAGTGTCTCCATTATATTTTAGAAACTATGACAGGACTCGCATAATTTCTATTATAGCACTCATTTGAAGAATATTTCTTGACATTTTTGAAGGACATTTCTTTACAATTTTCAGTTATCTGACATTCAGTTTTCTCACTGCTGCACTTCACATAAGCTGTAGCTTCAGAAGACGCTGTCATCCAGAATTACATGCAGTCTTGTAACAAATAACTAACCTGTTGATCCCAGCTGCATTAACCAAGTAGTTAATAGGACCTAAATTCCTCTGCATCTCCTCAAAAGTTTTTTGGACTTCTTGTTCACTGGATACATCGCAGCTAAGTGCCAGATGTCCTGCTGTATCAAAATAAAGGCACATCATAATAATAGTAAAAAATGGTATACCATTCATAAACCTTCAGAATGTATCAAGTCAATTGCAAAAACAGATGTTGAACTAGTTGTAACTTGAAGAACCCATTTAATCTCCAAATAATTAAATAAGGACAATTTTTAAGTATTGCATTGATTAGTTATGTGACGATTTCTTGTTTTATATTTTGCCATTTTGAAATCAGAAGTTCAACATGAGCAGACTGGTCTCAGCTCTGAGCCAAGGATGACTCAATTCATACCACCTCCCTGTTGTGACTTTCAACAATTCCTTTCATCTTACCTAGTCTATCCACAAGATAGGAATTGTATCATACTTAACTTTCCCAAAGAACATTGCAAAATAAAAATTGTACTCATATATCTTTTCTTTCAAATTTCTCAGCTGTTACTTCCATTTTCATCTAGTTAAACAATGAGGTTTATTTAATGACTTACTACTCTTACAAGCTACCTAAGCATTGGACAGCGAAGAAAATATTGCGAAGCAGCACATACGTACCACCAAGATTCCGTGCAGTGGTTTGGGCTACTTCCAGATTTCTAGCAATAATCGCGAGGCGGCAGCCTTTCTGTGCCAGTAATTCTGCAACAGCTTTTCCTATTCCTCGGGATCCTCCAAAAATGGCGCAAACCTTGCCCATCTTTAAAAATAATTCACAAATTGCAAAGAAACTATGAACTTCAGGTCCAGTATAGCTGAGAATAATCACTCTTCTGTCAGTAACACGTCCCTTACTAATCTTTAGCTTTTTAAAATATTGGATTATAGAATTAGTAGTTTGTTAATTTTTTATTCATCAAAAAAAGAAATACTTGAACCAAAGCGAACACCACTTCTACAAATGCAAGGTCATTCTTAATGATTTCTGAACTAGTAAAAAACTTATGCATGTAATCTAGCATTTCAATCCTACTGTTAGGATAACTCCTATTCAGTTGAGAAAATATGCAATTTTCGTATCTAATGGCTGTACTGTATTGTTAACAACACTATTGTTAGTGTTGTTATTGGCTCTTTATTCAAAGCCAATGTAGAAGCTGTAATTTACATTGATCTTGCAAGCACTGATCTTGTACTGAAGTCATTTAGCCTCAAGGTCTCACTCCATCCTAAGTATCTGTGTTGGACATCCCCATTGCAAACATTACTGAGCACATTAGACACTACTGTGTTCACACTAGTTTAATATTAAGTTATGCTACATAATACTGTGTTTTACCAGGGGCCTTAGGTTTTTTTGTCTCTGCTTTTAAAGAAAAAAAAAAGCTTTATGAAATGTGAGACGATTGTGAAGTAGCTAGCTTAGATGTTTAGAAAGGAGCATAAGAAGAAAGTACTTCTGTAGTACTTTGATGATGATCTTTTATTCTGCAACCCCTAGAAACCAATCAGCTGGTTTGGGATTTCCTGAGAAGCCAGAGGCAGAATCCAAGGAATAGTAATGAAGCCTTTTTCCATCAGTTTGAGTAAATCCTTGTTGAACCCAATTAAACTTTGTCTCCATAACATCCTGAGGCAATAAGTTTCATTATTTGTGGAAAAGTACTTCCTTTTGTTCTTAATTTGCTTTCTGATTAGAGAACTATGCATTTCTCTTCATATCTTCCCCTCACTAGGATCTTTTCCTCCATTTCTTCCTCCACCATATTTTGTTCTTACTAGCACTGAGCATACCTCCTATTTTTATTTGAAACATGGAATAATATAGATTAGAAGGGACCTCTGGAAATCACCTTGTCTAACTCCTCCAACCCCAAGCAATGTCAAGTGAACCATCTTATACTGTTTATAAACGCAGCTAGGTCTCTACATACGCTCTTCTCTGAATAATTCTGAACATGCTTAGCTACACAGGACTCAAAAAGCTGTCTATGGGGAGAGAACTTCTTTAAAATGTTCCTGTTCTCTATGAGAAGGGAAAATAATCTTAGTGATTCTACCATTCTCAGAAAGAATAGCCTAAGTCCCTTGTGCATTATTAACCAGGTACAGGGGGGCAGACAAGGCCTACTTCAAACACAGCAAAACACAATTTGTGTTTTAGCACAAAAAAGCCATACAGATTCTTTGCGAGTTGTGACTTGAGATTTCCAAAGCCTGGAGTGGCAGGAACAACCCTATAGGCCTTCGCCAACCAAAGGCAGGGAAAATCAAGTATCTTTTGAGCAACAGGCTCCCCTAGGCCGCCACACAGCACACACAGGTGTCCGTGCCACCTTTGCCCTCTGGGGCCCTCCTCTCCTTTCACAACGAAACGCTTAACCCGTGACCACCAGGGCCCCAATGGCACCGCAGCGAACCACCTCAGGGCGCACAGCTCGAAATCCGCGGCGGGACACCCTCCAACAAATGCGGCTGGGGGTACCGCAGCCAGCCAAGCCCAGCCGGGCCGGGCCGCTCGCAGCCCCCCTCACCCGCGGCCCGCCCTGCCCCGCCAGCACCCCCGCCCCCACCCATCGAGGACAA